AAAAGCATTATAAAACCGAAGCCCACCTATTTTTTGTTTTTTAATCAAAAGCTACGTTGTCTATGTTAATGTTTAACAATTAGTATGTTCTAGAAAGTAAGTGCATTTGTATATATAATCGTTAAAATATTATTAAGTACCAACGAGTTGTTGCTCTAAGTGAAAGAAACTCAATTCTTTTTAAATGAAATCTCAAGTTTAAGTTTTGTAAAAAATAAAATAAGTGTTGAGAAAGTTTTCTCTCTCTTATGGGGTTCGATGTTACTTGATTTTGAATTAGTCAGAATCCAATATGATTACTGAATATCGAAAGATTAGTACCAAGAAAAAAAAAAAAAACTCAATATTAATTAAAATCAGTTTAATTGCAATGAACTAACATTTTAGTAGTTCACGACTGTGAAAGCAATTCGAAATGCAGCTTAATTAAAATTTAATTTTATCATACACGCAAGTTTCTTTGGGCCTATATCATACCCACAATAGATCACATGCAATTTATACAAAGTTCTAAAATCCACATAAATCACAACTTCAAAGTTATGAGGCAGTTCTACCTCTAACCTCATTGGCATCAGGCATCTTAATTTTGTCTTATACAGCAGTATATTTTAAGATTTCAATGTCAAACATTGGACCAAGATTAATGTTGATGTCATAGGGGATGAAGCGAGTTTTATTTTGGAAACAAAACATACACTATGGAGACCATGGACACTTAAAATTAGCAGAGTATCTTACAACCCTTAATGAACTAGTACAAAGAGAAATTTCGTTAAGAGTATTTTGATAACTCTATAGTCTGACAGTCTGAATTGGAAACACATTTTTGATTCTAGAAACTCTAATTCATTAATTTTTCTTTACCTAAGATTTCCACATTTCGTTCTATTTTCTTCTTGAACATGTTGTGCACTAGGCATCGCTGCCTGTTTGCCTTCTCCAAAGAATTCTTACACTTGAACAAAACATGAGGCAAACCCAACCCAAACATGACATAGGGGCTCATTTTCAAGCCCATCGATCTCTCAGCTCTCATAACAAAGTTTTATGGAGCCCAACTCACTTGCTCTTGGATCATAAGGCCGCAAATGTTAATGGAACTCGGCGAGTATACAGAGAAGAAATGCATTGATTTCTTGATTGACACTACATGTACAAGAGCCTGTATCATAGGTATATATAAAGAGAATATTTTGAATATACCTATTAGAGTAATATTTACAATATAACTTTGATTTGAATAGTGTAAATGGTTGATTAGTACTTGCATCTTAATAGAAAGTGAGTATTTAGGTTCAAAGTTCATTCAAAGCCAGAAAATTTTACTATATTTGGGTTTGCATGAATTTGACTCCATTAGATGTACTTCGAGTAAGTTTTCAGAGACACACAATCAAACGATTGCTTGCATAGCAGAACAATATAAGTAAAATAAGTATAAAATTAATCTATAACCAAATAATGAGAAAAATGTAACATGGTTAAAATACGTGAGTAAAGATCCAATTACCAACATAATAAGGATTTAATTATATAAATATGACACATAACCTTATAAACCATTTAGTTAAAGGTACAGCTCTCTAGTCTATGGGTTTAATCTCTTTCCTTTACCCTAAAAATTGCACTTGTTCAATATGTATATATGTGGATATGGAGGCAAAAGAAGAATGAAAAAAAAATCCTTAGAAAAAGGAAACAACCCCACTTATTTTTGCGTCATCATCAAAAGAGTAAGACCCAAGAACCAATTAGGACAATAGACAAATTTAAAGCAACTGCGCAAAAAATCAAACTCCAATTCTTTAAAAATCATTTTCCCTAATAAAGACAAGTTGCTAGGGGATCCCATCATCCTTTCTTAATTTGGACTTTAGAAAGCAAATATCTTTATCGGCAGGTGCTTTCTCTTTCTCAATCAGTTATGAAGTAACAATGTGCTTCATATCTTGCTAGACTGAGAACTTTTTGCTACCTCAGTCTTATGAAGGCTTGGTCCATTTTCAGAACCTAGAAGCTCTACCCTTTATGAGTGAATTGGTTAATGAAAAATCATTATTTATAGGCTTTGTAAACTGTCTTAATTTCCTCTCTTGTGAGCTAATGTATATATGAGAATGTTTTTTTGCATTTCTTTTAAT